ACAGCTTATTATTCATAATTTGATATTTAATTTATTCTTTATATTCATATTTTTTTTCTTTAATTAATTATTTATGTTAGTGGATTTTACACCAACTCATGCTTACATTACGTATTTAGTACATACTATTTGTGTTTTAAATTCACAATTATTTTGGTTTATATTATAAAAATAATAAAGAATAATAACTGAATTATTCACTTAAATTACATTAAATATTATTTTATAAGCAAATGAATAAAAATTAAAGCAAAATAATACAAAAATAATACGAAAATTTCAATAAAGTCAATGGTGATACGAAGATTTTTATACAAAAACTAGCAGACCCCGACACGCGTTGTTGTGGCTCAAAATGTATCTATTATAAATGCATAACACTTCCCCTGTGGGGGGAAATTTTACGAAAAATTTCTTTTTAGTGTACATACTCTTGACGTACCCTATTAAAACGCAATCAAAAACGCAAAAACCCGCATCTAAAATAATATAATAGAAGTCAAGTTCTTCACGGTAAGCCTTAATTCTGTCCCTCTCCCCCTAGTGCGGGAAATTTCGACACGTATATGATATAAAAACACGTGTGCATTCGAATGCAGCGTTGTGTCAAAATTTAAAAGGAATCGGTAGGAACAAACGAACATTACATTTTCATTTATATAAATAGATAGAAGATAATCTGCTTTAGTTCATTTTCACAGAAAAGCATAATGCCTCGCAGAAAAGCAAACTTAGGGCGTCGTACTCGTAGCGCCATCTGTTGGACATAAAAGCCTTAACCTAGATTATATATTTTAATTTATATGAATGTTTAACGGAATAATATACAGCCTATGTCCACCCTGAGGTTCCATTTTAAATATTGGTGAAAGAATTTTTGAAATCGGATGAGTAGTTTCGGAGATTACCTGCTGCAACGAAACTTACATACAAACATTACCTCTTTATATATTAGTATAGATATAGATAAATAAATAGAGTAAATAAATCTTAATTTAGTTCAATAAATAATGCAAAATTTAGATTATAAGCATTCAAGATATTAGTTTCCTAAATACTTTTTTTATATTTTTATTTAGAAAAATCAAAAGTAAAGTAATTTCTATCCATTGGGAATAAGTTCCATATCTTCAATATATAATCTTCAATACTCGTACTGTACAATGTATATAATACAAATATATGCAATATTTTAAAAAATTGTAAAATGAACTTACTTTTTCTACAAAATATATATATTTTTTATTATTAATTTTAAGTACAGTAATTTAATACTTGAAGCATAAATGAATCTTGAAACTCTTTCCATTGCAAATAAGATTGCTCAAAAGATGAATTCGTTTACAAGATAAAGTTTTAAACGAATAAAAACTTAAATTAAGAAAATTTTAATGCTTTAAAATCCCTAATTTTCTATCAGTTTCAAATGATAGATTGTTCAAATCATAGTGGAATCATGAAACTTTTGTCTTTGAAGCTAATTGCTTACAAGAAAAATTCTTCTTCAGGAGAAATTTTTCTGCTTATAAAATCATGAATTAAGCCAATTTTATTGAAATTTTGATCATTTTAATGTTTTAAAACCTGCTTTGATATGATCAAACGGTATTCAAAGCTATGAATTTATTAAAAGTTGGATTTTTTTTGTTGTTTTTTTGTAAGAGGATCGACGGAATCCCTTGAGTCTCTTAGGATCTTTCAATGTCTAATTTAATATCCTTAAATAAACCAATTTTTTTCTATAAAAATTCTTTTCTTATTTTGATTTAGAAGATAAAGAAGAAAAATTAAGATTAAAATTTAAATGGAAAGAGGTTAATGTACTTAAAGAGAATTAAAGTGTACTTAAAGAAAGAATAATTTTGCAAATATTTAAAAAAAAAACAAATTTTATTTAATAAACGAAGAATCCGTAAAGCATTTAATACAAATTTTAGCAGTAATTATCGAGAATACATTTATTTTGCATAAGAAGATTACGAAATAAACAGATTTTAACCATTAAAATCATCTATTTTTTTCACAGAAAATACAAATTTTCAATAAAGCAGAATTAATGCAGGAAGTAGGATACAATATATTAAATTGTATATAAATACAGGATGGTCCAAAAATAAATTAACCATGTAAAGACCATAAAAATGAATAAAATTATCATGCTTGAAAAATTTTATTCTGCAACTTATATAGAGATTATCTGAAATGAACTCTATGAATCTCTATGGAAACGTAGTGGATCCATACACACAGAGATCAATTACATAGAGATCCATAGAGATTATTTCCAGCTATCGAAAACTTTTATATAAGTCTAGCGAATTTCCTACAGGATTCTGTAAAAATTTAATGCATTTTTTTTTTTTACTCTTAAGATAAACAGAAGTATATACAAATTCATAGGACAGCTTGTGAAGTCTTTAAGTTAAACACATGTCTAGGAAAATTGTAGTATAAATATTGGCCTATAGAAAAACCATACATTAATTAAAAGCAGAAAATTTTAGGATAAATATATGTTATATTTTCAGTATAATCAAATGTTTATAATACATATGAGGCCTACTAAAAGTCTTTGATGCCATAAACTAATCATTACTTTCAGCTATTGATGACATAATCATATATTTTATAATTTATAATTTTAATTTTTATATCTAAATTTATTTTAATACATAAATCAATAGAATATTTCTTAAAAAAATTAATTTTTTAAAAATATTTTAAACTTTGATTCTTTGTAAACTTCATTATAAATGTTTAAAGTCATTACTTTTTAACATAGCTTTGTGATACATTGTTTTAAATCAATAAAATTTATTTAAAATTTTAGAAAATTTAAAAATTTGATTTATTAATTAATTTATATGGTTTATAGATTTATGAATTTAAAAAAAAAATTATAAAATTTAATGTAAGAATTTAATCAAGAAACTCATCACTCTATGAACATTTTTACCGTTTTTTTACTGCAACAACAGTTATAATAAGTATTAACTTTTATTAAAAAGCCTTAAAAATACTTTTATGATAATTATAAATTGAATTTTAAAGACTTTTCTATTAATATTTTAACAAAATATATATATATATATATATATATATTTAAACAATTAGGAATTTCTCAAATTCAATTTTTCCATCAACAATTTCACATTAAACAAACCTTTGCTTTACTTAATTTAAAAAAAAAAATTGAGAGATTATAATAAATTGAATGTTATATAAACATTTTTCAGGATATTGTAAAAAGGTTAAAACTATGAGCAACAGGAAACATCATCTTTCAAGCTCTAGTTCTCATCTCTAGAAAATATGATTGAGCATCCCATCACAACACTCTTCATATATAGCAGGAAAAAATAAAACTACTCAATCATTGGTAGTAAATATAAGAAAAATAATAACTAAAATAAGAATTTAATAAATTTTCATATTTAAATTCAAATAATTTGTAAATAAATAGGTTTAATTAAATAATTTCTGAAAGTAGAGCTAGCTAATATAACTACAAATCAGTGCTTTAGATATGAGCCTACTACAGGTCTATGTTATACTAGAATATTAAAACACTATTTACTGATTAAATTAATACATCTTTTTAGTATAGAAATGTTAGTATTCTATGACCGTTACACAGCATTCTTCCTACCTCTTAAGGTTGAGATGCTTTAGAGCTCTTCAGCATCACTTCATGTTATACTGCAACTAGTGCAGTAAAGGTTATAAAATATTAAAATTTTGTTAGATAGCAACGTTATAAATACTCATAACCATACTATAACAATAATATAAGTAAATTGACTCAAAATATTTATAAAATTCATACAAGTAGATTAAGTTTACAAGACATATAATGAATTATAAATATACTTGAATCCCTTAGAGAGAAAGTGAGAGAGAGATTTTATATATTAAATTTATAAAAATTTTAATATTTAAAAATTATAT